TTTTCTTGTTTAGCACCATATCGTCGGCCTTCAACTCATTAGCTACTGTAACAATGGAAGACCTCATCAAACCGCAATATCCTGCCATGACTGAGGCGAGAGCAACCCTGCTGTCCAAAGTTTTAGGTCTGCTCTCTGAAGCTTTAAATGTTGCAATTTGTGAATTAAAGCAGTGAATTGAAAATGATGCTTTGACCCTAAAGTTTATACTTGTGTCTCCTTAATAAGCTATGTCCTATGGACTGCTCTGCCTGGCCATGGCATATCTCACTCACCTCATGGGTGATTCGGTTTTACAGGTAAGTTCGCACCGGTTATAACTTTATAATCAACATACTTCTATGTTTGGACCGATTGTTTATCATATTTAACGTTAGGTGGCTTTGAAAATCTTCGGCATGGTTGGTGGTCCTATTCTTGGTCTGTTTTGTCTCGGGATGTTCTTCCCGTGGGCCAACTCCATCGTAAGTTGACTTCTAACGTAAATTCACAATAATGCTGTTTATTTATTTATTAACTTATTTTGGTAATTGTTTCCAGGGAGCTCTGGTAGGTCTGTGTGCAGGACTGGTTGTGGCTTTCTGGCTCGGCATTGGAAGCATCCTCACTCGTAGCACAAGACCACTACCACTCGAATGCGGCGCCAATGCGACTATTGCTATTCAGACAGCGTTCAACAATACCACTCTGAGGTACGGATCACTCCGGCTGCACACTGTGACCTCTCCTCATTGATCATCTCCTTAAGCATCTCTTTGTTCTTCAGTCAACCCTCTGGACTCAAGAGATTTTACTCCCTGTCCTACATGTGGTACAGTGGCTTTAACTGCACTACAGTCATTTTAATAGGCCTGATTATCAGCTTTCTCACAGGTAGGTGAGTTCTTGTGCATATCTTTATTGTCCATAACTTTTCTTTATAAAATTTTTATTAGAAATTCTTAATTATGTTTCTTAGGCCCAACAAAGGAAGAAGATGTGAAGCCAGGAACACTCTATCCCCTGTTAGGAAAACTTTTTTGTTTTCTACCTGAACACCTGAAGAAGAAGCTCTGCTGTGTGACTCCACTGGGACAAACGGTGAGTGAAAGGATCGATTTAATAGCAAAGAACCTTGCAACGTTTATATATGATGTATTTGCAGTAGAATAATAGTAAAGCATTAAGTAAAGATGGTGGTACAACTGTGTTACAGAGATGATGTTTTGAAATGTTTACTAGAATTTGGAAGTGCGGGACTTTTTTCAAGAGCCTCTTTTCAGGATCATGATTTGCAGGTGGCTAAAGTGGGATTTGGCAGGTGGGGAACAATAAGATTGGGCGTAGTGGTGCAGCATGGGAAACTAAATTACTTTAAATAAGTCAGAATAGGAGGAACAATGCGGTTTTCGTCCTGGTCGCGGAACACTGGACCAGCTCTTTATCCTCTCCAGGATACTTGAGGGTGCATGGGAGTTTGCCCAACCAGTCTACATGTGTTTTGTGGACTTGGAGAAGGCATTCGACCGTGTCCCTCGGGGTGTCCTGTGGGAGGTGTTGCGGGAGTATGGGGTGTCTGGCCCATTGCTACGGGCCATTCGATCCCTATACAACCGTTGCAAGAGCTTGGTTCGCATTGCCGGCAATAAGTCGGACTCGTTCCCGGTGGGTGATGGGCTCCGCCAGGGCTGCCCTTTGTCTCCGGTTCTGTTCATAATTTTTATGGACAGGATTTCTAGGCGCAGCCAAGTGGCGGAGGGCTTTCGCTTTGGTGGCCTCAGAATCTCATCTCTGATTTTTGCAGATGATGTGGTTCTGTTGGCTTCATCGGGTGAGGGCCTCCAGCTCGCACTGGAACGGTTCGCAGCCGAGTGTGAAGCAGCGGGAATGAGGATCAGCACCTCCAAATCTGAGGCCATGGTTCTCAGCCGGAAAAGGGTGGAGTGCCCACTCCGGGTCGGGGATGAGTTCCTGCCCCAAGTGGAGGAGTTCAAGTATCTCGGGGTCTTGTTCGCGAGTGATGGGAGAAGGGAGCCGGAGATCGACAGACGGATTGGGGCTGCGGCTGCAGTAATGCGGACGCTGCACCGGTCAGTCGTGGTGAAGAGGGAGCTGAGTGTAAAAGCGAAGCTCTCAATTTACCGGTCGATCTACGTCCCTACCCTCACCTATGGCCACGAGCTGTGGGTAGTGACCGAAAGAACGAGATCGCGGATACAAGCGGCGGAAATGAGCTTCCTCCGAAGGGTGGCTGGCCTCTCCCTTAGAGATAGGGTGAGAAGTTCGGCCATCCGGGAGGGGCTCAGAGTAGAGCAGCTGCTGCTCCACATCGAAAGGAGCCAGCTGAGGTGGTTCGGGCATCTGACAAGGATGCCCCCTGGGCGCCTCCTGGGTGAGGTGTTCCAGGCATGTCCCACCGGGAGGAGGCCCCGGGGCAGACCCAGGACACGCTGGAGAGATTATATCTCTCGGCTGGCCTGGGAACGCCTTGGTATTCCCCCGGACAAGCTGGAGGAGGTGGCTGGGGAGAGGGAGGTCTGGGCCTCTTTGCTTAGGCTGCTGCCCCCGCGACCCGACCTCGGACAAAGCGGATGAAGATGGATGGATGGATGGAAGTCAGAATAATTTGTTTTGCTCTTTCTGCCCTTTTTAGCCAACTGAATTCTGCATGATATTAGTAACTGTTACACAAGCTTTATAACTAATTTCCAACACCTAGACCTTTCCAATAAGAAAGGTACAATTCAGTGAATCTAATTAGCATCGTCACCTTGAATATACATTCGTGTCAGCTACCTAGATGTAAACAGTCCAGCACTGTAAACTTTAACACATTACTCCAAACTAACCAGTTTAGCCTGTCCTAAATTTCCTGATATTTTCATCCAGTCTTTGTATAACACAGAATTAGTGTACTTCAGTTCATTGTGCAAGAAATTGTAATTCAGCAACACATCATCTATTTATAAATATCTGACTCAAATTTTTTTAAAGTTAATTACAACATTATATATACACTTTAAAATTCCAAGCATGTAAATTTCACTTTCTAAGCAGTGCTCACCTTTGAAAATAATCATCCTTCCTTTCTTGTCCTGTCTTTCTTGCATCTTTTTCCATCTCTGATAGTGCCACATATTAACATTTTATTCTAACCCTGTAAAATACAGAAAGTGTCCATATACAAACTTCACATCTGCATCATGAACCCATTGCAGAGTTGAAAGCGAAAAAGGATGAGTTTGCAGTGCTTGCAGGCCATGGATGTAATTATTTTCTTATTATTGAGCAAATATCTATATGCCGTCACTAGAAGCAATGCCAGGCTGCAGTACATGAAAAATTAACTCATCCAGTAGTGATATGTATGAACCTGCGGATTAGATTTATTTATTAACTGACTGCTAATCACCAGGATTAACACTGCAAATTGCAGATTGTTCAGTCGTGCAAATTTAAATGTAATTTTTATTGAGCTGACCTGACAGGTTGATGAAGGCTATTGCAAAATGTAGGTGCTACAACCTGAAAAGCCTCTGGTTTTAAAGTAAGAATTGGAACAGTTAGACTAATCAGATAATCAGAGAGACTCTAATGAAGAATATTTCAGTCTTGTGTAAGGAATCCTCATATCAGTCAGGGCTATGTAAGAAACTCATAGTTCTTTTTAGACTAAAACTGAAAGAGGTGCATTCACCTATTTCCAAGGACTTAAAAGGATTCAGGACTGGGTGACTTCCTTCATCTTTATTATAAGTAATTTATCCTAACTGATTCGTCAAAGGTTGTATTCTTGCAGGAGTAAAAATCTGGTCTCAGAGACATTTTTTATTATGTTGGAGATGGTGGGAGGGATTATCTGTAAACATCTTCAGGCACCACTGAATATAATGCTGCTTCCCCTTTTTTTCCCTCAAAATTAGACTAAATATTATGTATGCTTGCTTGCATTTCGTTCGTATTTACTCTGCATCATTTAGAGTCAAAATTCAGAAGTCAGTCATTCTAACAGTTTATGGAAATGTGTAGCACAAAATACAGCAGTAGCAGTATGTGAAACATCCCTGGTTTGATCCCCTTTGGGGCTTTTTCAGAAAGGATCTCTGGCATAAAATACCAAATTGAACATGTAAAGCTACCTTCTGTGGAGACCCCTTGTGAATAAGAGAGTGTCTACCAGTAGCATTTAGCATAATGTCAGCATGCTAACTAACATGGTTTTTATAATCAAAATGATCACTGTTAAATATTTGCTGCTTTTTCACAGGTATATTTGATAAAAATCAGTTTCCTTATGTGTGTTTTTATCTTTTTAAATTAAAAAAATATATACATATAGCTTGCAGCACCGCAGAGGCAACCTTCACAACACAAAGAAGGTAATGGACTGGCATTCCCACAAGAAGATAGATCATCACTGGAAGAGAGGGAAAATTTTCTTCCCGAGACTTTCGTAGAGTATGAAACCGCAGTGTGACGTCGACGTCTGTCACAAGAGGCTCTATTCAGCTCCCTCTAAAAATGTACATGTAGAAGTTGTGAATATCGTCCACATTAGATTGATGCCTGCAGCATTCAAAGCTACAAATTTTTCAACATTTAACATCAGAATTTTTTGTTTGTTTGTTTTTCTATTTATGTCAAAAGACTCAGCTGAACCTGTCAGTGTCTGAGTCAGTTATGTCTTACTTACATACACTACTTGTCCGCTTTATGTGAATGCAGCTGACAAATTGACCTTGTACTAGGCCCTGAGGCAGCTCCTCGGTTAAACATCCGTTTTAGCTTTTCTTCCATTAAGCAGGTTTATTCGGATTGAGGGCCCCTCGCAAACAGCAGAGCCAAAGCTGAGTCCCTGAGATGATTATCTTAGGAATATCCACTCTCACCTTGACCTAAATGAGCAAAGACTATAGAGGCAACTTTCACACCTAAACTTTGCACATATGCCAACCTCATTATATTTTGGCCATGTTAAATTTGAGCATCTCCTATTGAAACGGTATAAAAAAACTGCAGCAAGTAGGGTGAAGAATAACAGACTCACTTCAGATTGTTAGCTGCTTTCTGGAAGGTTTTTCCTGAGTACATGTTAAAAAGCTGAACTATGCTGATATATGTCAAAATTGATACGTTGGGAGCTTGACATAAGAAGAAAAGAAGTAAACATATTTCATGGTGATATTTTCTTTGTACTTGATGACTGTTTAGCATTACTGTGGCTGTTTTAAAAATGGTCCTGTGAAAAGATACAGCCTTGTCTGTTAAGAATGTTTGATTATTACTTGACCGAAAAAGTACAAAACTTTCTAAAGAGAATTAAAGATTTTATAGTTACGTTGTTGTCTTTTGTGTTGTTTTCATTAGTTTTTGTAGTTTTATGTTTTGACTTTTTTATTCATTTTTTTTGTCTGTAGTTTTGAATAGATTTGTTTCTGTAAGTTTTAAGAAAATGTTTAAAGTTTAGTTTTTTATATTATTGAAATTGTTTATTTGATTTTTATCCTCTAATACTGGGGTAATTTCACATCTTTAAGAAGTTTAGAGTAAATATTAAAGTAAACACAACACTTTGTAAAAGGAATTGACCCAGAGCTACACAATCATCTCAGTCTCAGTGTTAGGAAGCGCAAATGATTCCTTATGTTTGACATGTTCAAAAAGTCAGTGAAACTGGTCGATATGACTGAAACTAGCACCACTGAATGAACAATGTCATCCCACTGTTCATTCAGCGGTGCTAGTTTCAGTCATTATGCAACGTACTGTTTATAAGGTTGGGGAAACCTGCAGTCAGCTGAGGCTGAAGAAGTCATTTGGATGAGTGACGAAACGTTTCTCCCACTGAAAACGCTACGACATCCAGATGAACAGAATCAACCTTTTGGGTTTTGTTTTATTTTCCTAAGTTTTTATTTTATTTTTGCAGTTGCAAATTTCAGCGGGCCCTGTACAAGTTTCACACATGAAGATCAGTATAATGTAGCTGGAGGACTGTTTTTAAATTGTATTTAATTCGAAAACAGTTGATTACTTTTGTTAAACTTCCTGAATTAAAGTTGGAAGTCGACACTTCAATTGCATATTGATTGTTTGATTTAAAATCCACTGGGGTGGTGTATAGAGGCAAAATGACAAAAATTGAGTCCCTGTCCAAATTTACAACTAGTGCTATTTATAATTAGCTTGCATTAAAAATACAGGCTTGGTGTTTAAATGATTAGACATTTTTCAAACTTACTCAAACATCGTACTGAGTTAGTTGTATTAATATAATATCGTACTTTCCTTAAAGCAATTTGATTTTTTTCTTAACTTGCCTGTACCGTACAATGTATATAATAAGTAACTGGACAGAAAAACACCAACAGTATTAGGATTTAAATATATGAGCTATTTTCCAGCTAGTTACATCATTAAAATGTTGTTAATGTAAAGATCTACATTCCAATCATGTATTCAAGTCACAAAATATTATCATTTATGCGTTTAGACACTTTTTACTCTTGTACATTTTGAATGCGCTATTTTTTTTTTTTTTTTAACTTATAGTCTCCCTTCATGCACATGTTTTCGGTTGTGGCTGGTTAGATTTAGACGTCTCTACAACATTCAAACTAAAAGAAATGTTTTGCATGTTCACATCAAGTTTGGGAGAAAGCAGCTTTTATTCTGGATGTCCTTTTTTTTTTTTTTTTTTTTAAGATAAACAAGGAAGTTTGGATCAATGTACAGTATTATTAAAGCACATTTCATATGAATATGTATATTGAACAAAGAAAGACAGATAAGTGTAATAATTATTAAAACTTCTGATTTGTATTACTGCAAGTAAAACAAAATAAACAACAAAGAAACAGTCACATCAAAGAGTAAATGTAGCTCATGAATCAAATATATTGGATTTAAATGTAGTGTTTTGTGAGTATACATGTGTGCAGGTGTTGTTTAGGAATTTTTAGTTGTTGTTTCCAAATTTGTGGAGCTTTCGCTGATGGTTGGTGGAGCCTGCAGAACAGAGGAAACAGATGTGCGTCATTCATTATGAGTTACCACGGTTATTTACGAACAAGCTGTGGTTCACTTACTTTTTTCCTGAAAGAATTCAGCAGTGCTTCACGGGTCTGTGAAAATCAGAATAAAAACATTTGATGAAAAGATTTCCAAGGATATTTTTGATGACTGTTGATAATAATTTCATTACAATAATTGAAATAACACAGAATTAACCTGAGAACAACTACAACAATAATGACATTGATTCAGCTGTGGATTTTACATCATCCACTCCTGCCATTGGCTTCAAACTTTAAATATATTCAAATGTTATCACAGTGATACAGCAGCATCTAACTAAAACTAGGTAGGCCTCTTATCTCTAGAAGTAAATGACTTTACCATTCTGTCCCCCAGGCACGTGGTCAACAAAATAAACAAACCCTAGAAATGAAAAACAAGCATTTAAAAAAAAAAAGTAATACTTTTAGCAGAACAGATATTGAGTCTGATCAGTTTAATAATTGTGACCATACCTGGAATGCATTGAGCACAACAAAAGCGTAGTTCACAGCTAAAGTCACAGCTCCAGCTGTGAGGTCCATAATAAATGTTGCAAATCCAAAAATCCATGGCAAACCAAAGATTGGAGTCAGAAGAATAACTGATCTCAGGACAGTTTTGGCGGCCTGTATTTCTTTCTCATGAGACTTTTCTCTGCTCCTATGTTCCAAAAGCTTCATGATTACCACTATCATGGCAAACAAGTTGATGAAAACAATTATACCAACTGGGAGAATGAATGTATAGATGGTTCCTTTCAGAAGTCCAGAATAAACCAGCCAACATGTTTCCAAACTGAAATACGCGTCTTGAGCGCCGCCGTTGTTGGTGAGAAATGTGATGAAAACAATGAGAAAAGGACAAACGTAGCCCAGGATCAACGAGAACCTCAGATAGGTTTTCTTGCCCACTTTGTGAAACAGGAAAACTGCCTGATGAAGGAGCATGGTGCTCAGGCTCAACATCCAAAAGAACATGGCCAGGTAGCAGAAATGCTTCAGAAGAGCTGCAATTCTACACCAGATTTCTGAAATGATCTCTGGTTGAGCAGATGCCAGAAAACAGCAATCTGCCACCAGCAAACAAAGAGAAATGTTCACGTGGGCGGTGTGGCGCAAATGTAGAGTATTTGTCTTGACTACTTTGCTCCAGACGATCAGTTCTATCAGGAGGCTGATAACGAGTGACACCACTGATGCAGAAAGTCCAGCGTACGTTATCTCGGTCATGTAAGGGATTTCAATGGGATACCGAGACATCAGAATGGCAAATGAAGTCAGATGATTGCAAGTGCACTCGTCAGGTTTAGAAGCGCCCCCCCATACACATCCTTCATCTGTCCATTTGCTCTGGTTGTAGTTCCATGAGACACATTGCAGACTAACATGGCGACGCCTTGGTGTGAGCAATGGGAACTTTAGTGTAATCTGAAGGTTTTCTTCTCCACGTTGAGTGGTTGTTGACACAACAATGCTGTTGATGTTAAATGCTTCTGTTGTATTGGGCAAATAGTCCTGCAGGTATTTGAATCCAGCTGTTTTTACAGTGCCATTTCCTGAGCTTCTAACAGTGACTTCGGCATTGAACACCGTATTGGTGCATTCATCTTCGCTGCATGTGTCTATATGTATATTTTTTTGATTAGAATCATTACTTATGTTTGATATCGCAATTAAATCCTCAACTGACTGCAGATATTTCTCAGCCAGGGTTTTGTTGCTTTCAGGATTCGGATTATCCCATGAGTTTCCAAGAGACCCATCCAACAGATTACTAGATGAGGCCAGGAAATTCTGAAAAGAAAACAAAGTTTGAGTATAACTACGATGCTTAAAATGAATCATAAAAGACTGAACTAGTCAAACTTTAACACATGCAGCTTCTTATCTGCTTCCCTAGTTGGTCATTGATTGACCCTCGATTTCTTTGAGTAAACCACTGTCAACACTAATAACTTGAGGTGACTGTTGTTGTAATTTGGCGCTATATTAATATAATTGATTTGAATTGAATTGAACAATGGCTAAGGTGGTGACATGTTGCTTCCTGTGGCTTCTTCACAATAAAAGGGACAGGGTTATTCAGCACCTGAACTCTTTTAATATGAAGTAACAGCAGCAGGAAATTCTTGATTTGCATTAGCAATGAACTAATTGTAAATAGTAAAACTGTTAATGTATTCAAAAAAGTGAATAAATAGATTGGAAATTTGTTTCCTTGTAACTCTTAAATATTCCAACTTTACGTACAAGTATTTATACTTATTCATTTTAATATTTGTTAAAGAATTTAAATAATAATAAAAATAAAGCTTCTTTGATACTTACTTTAGTTGTGGTTACATTGTCTACTACTTTGACTAGTCTAACTAGTTTGCCACTCATGGTGCTGAGTACATCAACTGATGCATTCACATTGGCAAAAGTGTTAATACGCACTGAATTTTGAGTGACATTGTTAAGGTTAGAAAATATTGTTTCTGCATTTTTATGTAATGCCCCAAGTCCAGTGTCAGAAATCTGTAACAAGAGCACATATGAATTAGTCAAGCCTAATTGTATCAGCTACAGTGAGTTTGACAAAAAGATGAACAACTTTCCATTTTTCTGTTGCGTAAAAATCTTGTTACAGTTGGAGAATTTGTTGCTATATTAAGTTTGAGATTATTAAGTTACTTTCCCATCATATGGAAACAATTTCTTAACATCAATTATGAAACGTAAGCTTACTTACTATTGCATTTTGCAGTACGTTGTAGAGGTCTGAGTTCACACATCCTGACACCTCATCTTCCCATTGCTTATTTGAGCTGAAAATATGAATTTTAATATTGAATATCTTAATATCTTAAGTGTCACAAATAAATGTTCACTTATGAACTGGTCAAATGATGTTCCCAGTCACAAATGCAAACAATCATTGTTGGTGGACTCTTGGAGCCATTTCAATACAAAAAAATAAATAAAAATAGTCAAACAAATAACTGATACATTATTACATAATAAATATGATCAGCAGTTGGATTCTTACTTGCATTTCCTTGTTCTTTGCCCAGCAGAGTTTGTGCATTTTAAGACTGAAGTGAAATTAGCTTTGGTGTCTCCCCATACACCTTGAGCCGCACAGTACGGGTCACCATCTGTTTTGGCGAAGAAACTTTCATACATTAACTAGGACAATATCAAAAGTTAATTTAGAGAATGGTGAGTTCAAATCAATTCCTGTTGCAGAAATTATATCCTATAATGTCTCATAAAAATTTGGTCTCTCCAGAAACA